GTACACACTCCACATGACGGAACCTCAGAGTATAACAGGGCCATCAAGCCCCCTAAAAATAATTGGCACCTCAGTGCAGTTCAAGGACTGTATTATTTTCCCTCATCCTCTATTAGAGGCGTGTCCTGTGATCCTTAAAGATTAGTGTTCATCCCGTTGGGGGTCCATAGTGGAGGTTACTATTAGTGTTCCAGTTTCCTCAGGATCGGTGAGATTTTCTGCAGCGGGAGGTCGACCTTGCACTTACTGGGATTATGTTTAAGCCAAGACCCTCCAATGTAGAAACCCGTCACGGAACCTGGCACGCCAGCAACCACCACTACAGACCCCGAGAGGAATGCCACTGCTCTTCAAGCACCACAGGAGACACGTCTAATAGTGGGAATAACCCGCCAAACACACCACGAAAGCTACAACGTTCAAACAAGTTGTAACAACCAATATAACGAGTTGTAACGACGTTCTAATACGTCATAAAATCGTTATACCAAGATGAAACAACTTTATTACAAGTTGTAACAGGAGGAGAATAGAGACAGTTTCTTTTTTTGTTTGCCAGGGGGGGGGGGAGGAGGAAAATGAGAGTCCATGAACTGAAGTGAGCGTCAGTGGTAATCCCACCCCCACTGTCAGCCGCACACACTCAACACACAAGATGCCTCAAACACAATTGTGTGGCCAAACAACTCGGAAGCTCCACTGAACATGAACCCACTAAACATCTGACTACAGCACAAAGCACGCACGCACATAGCCGGTGGCCGAGCGAAAGCACGTTGTACATGTGATCCTGTGGTCCCGGGTTCGATCCCAGGCGCCGGCGAGAAACAATGGGCAGAATTTCTTTCATCCTATGCCCCTGTTACCTAGCAGTAAATAGGTACTTGGGAGTTAGTCAGCTGTCACGGGCTGCTTCCTGGGGTGTGTATGTGGTGTGGAAAAAAATAGTAGTAGTAGAAACAGTTGATTGACAGTTGAGAGGCGGGCCGAAAGACCAGAGCTCAACCCCCGCAAGCACAACAAGGTGAATACAACTAGGTGAACACACACACACACACACACACACACACACACACACACACACACACACACACACACACACATATAGGTGAGTACATATAGGTGAGTACACACACACACACACACGCACACACACACACACACACACACACTGGATGGACTATGTCACCCAGAAGTGCCAGGAAGCTGCAGACAGGTTTATCCCGGTCCAAAAGGAGAAAAACGAAAATCAACAAAAGAATCCATGGTTCAACCAGGAATGTAAGGTAGTGAAGCAACTGAATAAAAGGACATGGAGAAGCTACAGGAACAACAGAACACCAGAGAGCAGGGAGAGATACCAGAGTAAGGAATGAGTACCTCAGAGTGAGGAGGGAAGCAGAGAGACAGTATGAAAATGACATAGCGAGTAAAGCCAAGACCCAACCAAAACTGCTCCACAGCCACATCAGGAGGAAAACAGCAGTGAAGGAATAAGTGATGAAACTGAGAAAAGGGGATAACAGATACACAGAGACTGACAAGGAGGTGTGTGAAGAACTCAACAAGAGATTCCAGGAGGTCTTCACAATAGAACAAGGGTTGGGAACCCTTGGGAACAAGGGAATAAGGCACTAAATGAGGAGGAGGCAAAAAAAGCAACCTTGGTGGAATTTAACCTCACCAGTGATGAGGTTAAAAGGAATCTGTTGGAGCTGAATGTGACAAAGGCTGTAAGGCCTAACAATCTCACCATGGATACTAAAGGAAGGTGCAGAAGCACTAATTGTGCCACTCTCTATGGTTTATAACAGGTCACTGGAAACAGACCTACCGGAAAGTTGGAAGACAGCTAACGTAGTCCCAATATATAAGAAGGGTGACAGGCAGAAGGTACTGAACTACAGGCCAGTTTCCCTAGCAAGGTTCCCAGTTTACCATGCAAGGTGATGGAGAAGATCGTGAGGAAAAGGCTCGTAGAGCATCTGGAGGGAAACAGCTTTGTAACACACCACCAACATGGGTTCAAAGATGGTAAATCGTGCCTCACAGGTTTAATAGAATTTTATGACCAGGCAACAAAAAATCGGCAAGAAAGAGAAGGGTGGGCAGACTGCATTTTCTTGGACTGCCAGAAAGCCTTTGACCCAGTACCCCATAAAAGGCTGTTAACAAAAGTTGGAGCAACAGGCAGGAGTAAAAGGGAAGGTGCTCCAGTGGATAAGGGAGTATTTAAGTTACAGGAAACAGTGAGTAACTGTGAGGGGGGAGAAGACATCAGAGTGGCGAGATGTCACCAGTGGAGTCCCACAGGGATCAGTAATTAGACCCATCCTGTTTCTAATATATGTAAACGATCTTCCGGAGGGTATAGACTCATTCCTCTCGATGTTTGCCGATGATGCAAAAATTATGAGAAGAATCAAGACAGGTGAAGATAGACAGAGACTACAGGATGACCTGGACAAACTGGAGGAATGGTCTAGAAAATGGCTGCTAAAGTTCAAATCAGGAAAGTGTAAAGTAATGAAATTAGGCAAAGGGAGCAGAAGGCTGAACACAAGGTACCATCTGGGAGGTGAAATCCTGCAAGAGTCAAATAGAGAGAAAGATCTGAGGGTTGATATCACACCGAACCTGTCTCCAGAGGCCCACATCAAAAGAATATCATCAGCGGCATATGCTAGGTTGGCCAACATAAGAACTGCCTATAGAAACTTGTGTAAGGCATTGTTCAGGACCCTGTATACCACTTATGTCAGACCAATCCTGGAATATGCAGCTCCAGCCTGGAGTCCATATTTAGTTAAACACAAGACAAAGTTAGAGAAAATTCAGCGGTATGCCACCAGGCTCGTCCCGAAACTGAGAGGAATGAGCTACGAGGAAAGGCTAAAGGAGCTGAACCTCACGTCCATGGAAAACAGAAGAGTAAGGGGAGACATGATAACCACCTACAAAATTCTCAGGGGAATTGACAGGGTGGACAAAGACAAACTCTTCAGCACGGGTGGAACACAAACAAGGGGACACAGGTGGAAACTTAGTACCCAGATGAGCCACAGAGACGTTAAAAAAATTTTTTTCAGTGTCAGAGTAGTTAATAAATGGAACGCACTAGGAAGTGATGTGGTGGAAGCTGACTCCATACACAGTTTCAAATATAGGTATGATCCCAGTAGGTCAAATATCATTCCCAGTAGGTCATTCCCAGTAGAATCATATAGGTATGATTCCTGAGCCCAGTAGACTCAGGAATCTGTACACCAGTTGATTGACGGTTGAGAGGCGGGACCAAAGAGACAAAGCTCAACACCCGCAAGCACAACTAGGTGAGTACACACACACACACACACACACACACACACACACACACACACACACACACACACACACACACACACACACACACACACACACACACACACACTTATCGTGCGCGCGCGCGACGCACCTGTGGCCCCTTCGTGGCACACCCCGTGTAAAACCCTGCAACAGAGTATAACGCATTAGGGGTATAACGCTCAACAAGGCAATATACTTTGTGGATGATATAAAAGTCTATTGGAAGCTAGTTGGGCCGGGTGGCCTATCTTTTGTTTTATATTCTTGATTACATCCAGGTCAGTTTCAGACGTGTTCACATCACGGCCGGGTCATATTTAGATACCTCCAGATCGGGAAGGTTCACGTCCCGATTTTGTCTAGGACACGTCCACAACGTGTCCAGGACACGTTGTGGAGCGCCGGTGGCAGTGTGGACAGCACGCTGGACACGTAATCCTATGGCCCGGGTTCGATTCCTGGCGCCGGCGAGAAACAAAATGGGCAGAGTTTCTTTCACCATAATGCCCCTGTTACCTAGCAGTAAATAGGGACCTGAGAGTCAGACAGCTGTTACGGGCTGCTTCCTGTGTGGGTGGGTGGGTGGGTGGGTGGGTAGGTGTAGGTGTAGGTGTAGGTAGGTAGGTAGGTAGGTAGGTAGGTGTGTGTGTGTGTGTGTGTGTGTGTGTGTGTGTGTGTGTGTGTGTGTGTGTGTGTGTGTGTGTGTGTGTGTGTGTGTGTGGGCGCGCGCGCGTGCGTGGTGGAAAAAATAAAATAAAAAAATAAATAAATTAGTAACAGTTGATTGACAGTTGAGAGACGGGGCCGAAAGAGCAGAGCTCAACCCCCGCAAGCACAACTAGGTGAATACACTTCCAGACCACAACCCATTTGTTTCCAGTTACTTGAACTCCAGTTGACATGAAGGTCACGTGAGTGACTCCACTAAAGACAGGTTCGAACTGGTGGGAATTTCGACTATTGTGGAGGGTAAAGCACAATAACTGGCACCCCTGGCTGTGAGAGCCAGTTGTGGCACCAAGGTGTAACTTACGACCTTGAACACACACACAGATCTTATCTTGAGGTTATCTTGAGATGATTTCGGGGTTTTTTAGTGTCCCCGCGGCCCGGTCCTCGACCAGGCCTCCACCCCCAGGAAGCAGCCCGTGACAGCTGGCTAACACCCAGGTACCTATTTTACTGCTAGGTAACAGGGGCATAGGGTGAAAGAAACTCTGCCCAATGTTTCTCGCCGGCGCCTGGGATCGAACCCAGGACCACAGGATCACAAGTCCAGCGTGCTGTCCGCTCGGCCGACCGGATCACACTAACGTGATGCATCAAATGAACAAATCCACAAGGGCCGTGACGAGGATTCGAACCTGCGTCCGGGAGCATCCCAGACACTGCCTTAATCGACTGAGCTACGACAGGGTAAAAGGGTTGAAACCGAGAGGCTACGGGATCCAGTAAGTTCAGTAGAACTTCGGTTTCAACCCTTTTACCCTGTCGTAGCTCAGTCGATTAAGGCAGTGCCTGGGATGCTCCCGGACGCAGGTTCGAATCCTCGTCACGGCCTTTGTGGATTTGTTCATTTACGACCTTGAACCTGTACCTGTAATGTGTTGGTGAGTGCCAACTGCGATAATGAGGCCAAGCACACACTGACTCACCATTTTGCTGTTGCAGTGAGAGCTAATTCATGATACGAGGCTGTGAACTGAAATTTGGCCGCTTTTTTGTTGATACGCTGGAACCTCTTCCAGACGGACCCCATCCCGGCGTCGGACCTGCAACACAAGACAGTCACTGTTAGACGTCGCACCTCAAACACTGTATACAAGAACACTGTAGCGTTCCCTCACAGTCGGTCCAGGACGCTCATCTACAAACATCCTGACATTAATTAAAAAAAAAAATACAATCTTTCGGATGGTAATGGTTGTGTGGTAGGGTGCAGGAGGTGGGTGGGGGGGGGGCGAGGAAGGGTGCAGGTGGTAGGTAGGTAGGTGGGTGGCAAGGAAGGGTGCAGGTGGTAGGTGGAGGGCGAGGAAGGGTGCAGGTGGTAGGTAGGTAGGTGGGTGGCAAGGAAGGGTGCAGGTGGTAGGTGGAGGGCGAGGAAGGGTGCAGGTGGTAGGTGGAGGGCGAGGAAGGGTGCAGGTGGTAGGTGGAGGGCGAGGAAGGGTGCAGGTGGTAGGTAGGTAGGTGGGTGGCAAGGAAGGGTGCAGGTGGTAGGTGGAGGGCGAGGAAGGGTGCAGGTGGTAGGTGGAGGGCGAGGAAGGCTGCAGGTGGGTGACGTTTATGTTCGTATTAAACAACTTACACAAACTAGTTAAATATAACAAAGTTACACATCCAGTGTTGTATGGAGAACTGGTCAGCGAGGTGGTCTAAGCCATGGGGCACAATTCCAACCTGTCCTCAGGCTAGACTCGTTCAGGCGGCGGCTGAGCCCGAAGACCCACTCCTCATTTTCACCCTAATGCATATTCAAAATTTGGATTTTATCAAATATAAAGTAATATTATTTTATACTCCGGTGTGGTGAATACGTAGGGCTAACTTACGTCTCTGTTGGTCATTACTGATATTTGAAGAATGTTGTTGTTTCAGATTAAGCTACTCAGAACGAAATGTTCATGTAGCACGGGCTATGGTGAGCCCGTAAATTTGAAGAACGTGCACGAAGCTTTTATAGAGGTGCGGTTCGAGCAGAGGACGTGAACGAAGTATTGTTCGAGAGAAATACGTCATTAGTTGTGAGTCGTTTGTAAAGTGTTTTTCATTCATAAACACGTTGGATTAATGAGTATTTGGCCTTTATTGATGAGGACAGACTGCTCAATTCTATGTAGAGCTAAGAAAGGTATTATCCAGAGTGTTACACTCGCCTCAATATCAACCTCAATTGTGATTACTCCTAAGTTATCTTGAGATGATTCTTGAGATGATTTCGGGGCTTTAGTGTCCCCGCGGCCCGGTCCTCGACCAGGCCTCCACCCCCAGGAAGCAGCCCGTGACAGCTAACACCCAGGTACCTATTTTACTGCTAGGTAACAGGGGCATAGGGTGAAAGAAACTCTACTCATTGTTTCTTGCCGGCGCCTGGGATCGAACCCGAAACCACAGGATCACAAGTACAGCGTGATGTCCGCTCGGCCGACCGGCTCCCTTAAGTGTTAAGAGGTAAGAAATAAACATGAAGCACTCGTCACCACCACCACCTCCAGGCACTCTCAACTAATTGGCCAGCTTGTTCTACACGTAATTAAACAGGGAACACTTTGATCCAAACCGGATCATCCTGCACCAATTGGGAGCGAGAGTAAACAAACTCAAGAGCAACTCCAAAGACGGCACCTGTCGGCATCCGGCACATGCAGCCGGCCCTTGCTGTGTGCTCGTGTGGTGGGGGTCTTCCATCTATCTATGTATCTATTTATCTATCTCACACACACAAAAAGGAACCTGTACACCTGCTGATTGACTGTTGAGAGGCGGGACCACAGAGCCAGAGCTCAACCCCCGCAAAGACAATTAGGTGAGTACACACACGGCGGTGGAGGCCAAGACCGTCAGTAGTTTCAAAGCCTCATATGACAAAGAGTACTGGGAAAACGGGACACCACGAGCGTAGCTCTCATCCTGTAACTACACTTAGGTAATTACACTCCCCTCTTCACCGTTGGCGCCAAACCCTGAAGATATTGAAGAAGTCTGCCAAACAAAATAGTTACTTGAAGTGCAGGTTGACTTAGGAAGGAAAAATGAACTATATCAAACTTCAAGGAAGTAGATGCAAGGCGAACGCAGTTGGCTGGCATCCGACTGTGTCCTAGTGTGATTCCCAGGCAGGGAGAGATGTTTGGGCATACTTCCTTACGTCTTATGCCTCTGTTGTTGTTGTTGTTGTTATAGATCCAGCTACTCGAAACAAGTTCCAAGTAGCACGGGCTATGGTGAGCCCGTAGCTTACCTGGCACAGGAGCGAGGCAAGTAGCACGGGCCATGGTGAGCCCGTAGTGGTTTTACCTGGCACAAGAGCGGTGCTGTGAGTGCAGTGAACAGCTTATGCCTCTCTTCACCCAGCAATAGACAGGTACCTGGAAATTAGGCGATTGTTTGGGGGGAATTACATCCTAATGAATTCTCAAAATACTGGTACTTTGTGATTTGTGTACAATCTACAGAAGGCATTCCGACCGTATTTATGCATGTTAAACCCATCAAGAGATATCCCAGGAGGAAGAAGGTTGAGAACCACTGGTTCAGAGGATGACCTCGTAGAACCTAACAGGTTTTGTGTCCATGTCACTGGGAAACCAAATACTGCATTAAACAACCTGCCGGTAGTCCAAGCCCCAGAGATACACAAGCGCTGGAATAGCAACAAAGCAATCCGACCTCATCAACAAAGGTCAAATGTTCGTTAATTCAGCAGCCAAACTTGTCTTTTTTACACAGGTGGGTACAGGAGCAGACGGCTGTTGACTCCTGTTAGCAGACTGAGAGCTTTCCCTTTCCATAACTAATGGTAAGCCTTACCCACTAGTTTCCCTGTAACACTACCCACCAATCGTTTAACAACCAGGTGCCCAATCATTGCTGGGTGAACAGACGCGTACAGTTTAAGATTGGCCTAGTCAATCGTCCCCGGCAAGGATACGAACCAAGGGCCAAATCGCTTGTGATGCGCGAGAGGTGTTTTACCACTGCGCCACTATGGTAACCCGTCCTCCTAATAGAGCATCGCATTTTGACGTATACTTTACCCAAGATCAAGACTTCTGATCTTGGACTTCTTGTCTTGGATCAAGACTTCTTCAGGTGTTTCGTCGACGACCTCTGTTCGAATAGCATCTCTAACTGTTTCAACTACATGCTACAAGTACTGTACAAATAATTGTCAACAGAACCTAAACACCTAACCTAACCTACGCCAACATATGCACAATACACTAATACATAATAGTATTCATTAATATTTGAGAAAATTCCTGTTTTGAATGAACAGCAAGTTCAAATTTATGAAGCGTCTTTGGGGTGGGCTGGTGAAGGTCTGGTGGTGATGGTCTGAGGACGGGTCGTCTGGTCGTGTTTACCTAGTTGGGTAAACGACGCTCCCACGCGCTTTGTTCTTCCTGTTCTCATCAAAGGGTCATCTTATCTTGAGGTTGTCTTGAAATGATTTCCTGATAGTTCCCTTCCCTTGAGATGGTTTCGGGGCTTAGCGTCCCCACGGCCCGGACCTCGACCAGGCCTCCTTTTTCTTACACACCCCCAGGAAGCAGCTCGTAGCAGCTGTCTAACTCCCAGGTACCTATTTACTGCTAGGTAATAGGAGCATCAGGGGTGAAAAAACTCTGCCCATTTGTTTCCGCCTCCAACGGGGATCGAACCCGGAACCTCAGGACTACGAATCCCGAGCGCTGTCCACTCAGCTGTCAGGTACTGATTACCTGGATAATACCTGGTTGATGGGGTTCTGGGAGTTCTTCTACTCCCCAAGTCCGGCCCGAGGCCAGACTTGACTTGTGAGAGTTTGGTCCACCAGGCTGTTGCTTGGAGCGGCCCGCAGACCCACCACAGCCCGGTTGGTCCGGCACTCCTTGGATTGCCATGCTTCGGGTAAGTTATCATCAAAATATGAGTTGGGTATGGCCCAATGGCCATAGTTGCAGACTAAGAGAGACGCAACTTACGCCGGAGAGGAAGTCACAGTGTCAGTGTTATGACCCAGCTGGAAGATCTGGCTGTTCACTGAGGACCCAGCTGGAAGATCTGGCTGTTCACTGAGGACCCAGCTGGAAGATCTGGCTGTTCACTGAGGACCCAGCTGGAAGATCTGGCTGTTCACAGAGGACCCAGCTGGAAGATCTGGCTGTTCACTGAGGACCCAGCTGGAAGATCTGGCTGTTCACTGAGGACCCAGCTGGAAGATCTGGCTGTTCACAGAGGACCCAGCTGGAAGATCTGGCTGGTCACAGAGGACCCAGCTGGAAGATCTGGCTGTCCACAGAGGAGCCAGTTGGAAAGATCTGGCTGTCCACAGAGGACCCAGCTGGAAAGATCCCGCTGGTCACAGAGGACCCAGCTGGAAAGATCCCGCTGGTCACAGAGGACCCAGCTGGAAGATCTGGCTGTTCACAGAGGACCCAGCTGGAAGATCTGGCTGTTCACTGAGGACCCAGCTGGAAGATCCGGCTGTTCACAGAGGACCCAGCTGGAAAGATCCGACTGTTCACAGAGGACCCAGCTGGAAAGATCCGACTGTTCACAGAGAACCCAGCTGGAAGATCTGGCTGGTCACCGAGGACCCAGCTGGAAGATCTGGCTGGTCACAGAGGACCCAGCTGGTAGATCTGGCTGTCCACAGAGGACCCAGCTGGAAAGATCTGGCTGGTCACAGAGGACCCAGCTGGAAAGATCCCGCTGGTCACAGAGGAGCCAGCTGGAAGATCTGACTGTCCACAGAGGAACCACCGGTCGTGGGACTATGACTGGTGAGAGACGCGGTGTTTCACCACTCAGATTACTGCTAACTTCCACGGTAAGTACTGTAAAGTTTGGCTGTGACGCTGCTTTAAGGATTCTACACCCATCGCCTCTAGTAACACATTAGTATCTTTTTCCAGGGCTTGGGTATACGTCTCAACAACTGTGGTTGGTGTGGTGCCATACCTGCTTGATGGGGTTCTGAGAGTTCTCCTACTCCCCAAGCCCGGCTCGAGGCCAGGCTTGACTTGAGAGAGTTTGGTCCACCAGGCTGTTGCTTGGAGCGGCCCGCAGG